TACTTGTTCTCCTCCTCCTCCTCCTCCGTACCCCTATCCTCAACCTCCCTCACTCTCATTCCTCCTCCTCCTCCTCCTCCTCCTCCTCATCCTCCTCATCCTCCTCCTCCTCCCCCGTCCTCCCCCCTCGTCGGACACGAACCAAAAATCTGGGCCTTCCGCTGCAAGCGGCGCCCAGGAGGCCCCTAGGGGCCCCAAGAGGCCCCAAGGCCGCCCAAGAAGGGATTCACGACGAAAGGCCAGCCCCTCGAAGGCCCCAGGGTCAAGGCGGAAAAAGGTGGGGGAATAGGGGGGGTAATTGGGCAGGCGGGGGCATCTTTCGAAGGCAGCGGGGACATCACTCACTCCTCGTGCTTTCCCGTTTGTCATCCTTCCTCATCCATGCTCTCCCCCTTTCCCCTCATGGTCCTCCTTCTTGCTTATACCTTACTCGTGTCCTTTATTCCCCGCCTCCCTTTCCCACTACTCCTCCCCATTCGTTTCCCGAGACGCCAATTACATGACTGTCGGGTATCCCAAAAGGCTGCCCCCCTCTCGCCATTCCTTCTCACCATGATCATGACGATGACTGTCCAAGATGCCGCACAAGATGCAGACGCTGGAGTACGACAAGCTTTGAAAATAAGAATCGTTGGCTGTCGTGTTGTATGCTGGCGACACATTGCTGGTGGGCCGCACTCGAACCCAACTTCAAGCACTATTGGAGGACATTGCGGGTGCAGTGACACGAATTGGTTTGGAGTTGCATTGGAACAACTTTCAAGTTAGTCCAGTTCGTTGCGAGATCAATATTGTAACGCCATCTGGCAAACCTGCGGCTGTGAAGAATCCGGTGGTCTATCTAGGCGCTGCGCTTTCGTCCACTGGCCAATTTCGCGGAGAATTGGGAAGCATATTCGGTGCTGCATGGAGCGAGATTTGCCGACGCAGCTGTGCCTGGAAGCACACTGCCACTAGTACGGCTAGGCAAATCTACGCTTGCTCGAATTGTGTGACTAGTGAGGTCATGTACGCATTGAAGTCAGCATGGTTCAACAAAGCCGAACGTAGAAGGCCAGACAGCTTTGAAGCGAAATGAATGCGTCGCGTTCTGCACATCCTCCAATTTTTACGTATCACGAATATCTAATAACGACACGCTGTCGACAGCCTGGCAGCAGCCTTATACGACGCAGCTTTTACAGCACTATCCTTCATAGTTTTGGAAAATATTCAGGGCACCGAATTATGATGTTTTGCGGTGCCTTTCTTTTCGATCCAGCAGCGTCCGACCAGCCACCCACGCATGCGCCAGAGTTGCAGGTCAAAGCAAGAATGGGCGAAGTGTTTGCACGACGCTGTCGTTCAGCAGTGTTTCCTCAAGCGACGAGGTAATGCAATGCATATGCGATCCATCTGTTTGGTACAAATGAATGATAAATTTCGTCTCAGTCCTTCCTCCTGCCCTTCCTCCTCCCTCTTTTCCTTGCCCCCCCCCACCCAGAAGGTAATTATTTGAATTAGAAATCGTGTTTTCACGCCGCCGCTCCCGCAAAGCAGTGATAACATGACCAATGTTGGGCTTTTTGCCCACGCGCTCCGGCGTATGGCCCGACACGACTCGATCTATCTCCTGATTATTATTATCATTATTATAATTATTCATTCATTCACTCACTCATTCATTCATTCATTCATTCATTCATTCATTCATTCATACATTCACTTTCTTTTTTCTTCTCTCGGTTTCCTTGTTTCTCCCCCCGCATTCCTCCCTCGGCCCGCCTTTCGAATCCTTCTCCTTCAGGGTGGTGGCATGGGCGTGGCGTCAGACGGCGGCGGGTTGTTCAACGAGCTCGCCAAAAAAGTCCCGAAGCCAACGCGGGTGCTCGCCCCAGCTTGCTGCCTGCTTCCCCCTCCGGCCGCTGCCACCCTCCCCATGGGATGGGGACTCATTATCCTCGCCCTTCTCCCTCCGCAGGGGACTCATTGCCTTCCTCCTCCGGCTCCGGCTCCCCCATCGTTGTCAGGCGGAGAAATCCTGTCCCCCCCCCCCTCCCGAGCAGCTTGGCAGGAAACCGCCAGCGAAAGTCGGCCAGGCATCCGGTTGGACTCGCTCTGCGCTTCTGGGATAGCCCTCTTGAAGGGCAGCAGAATTCCGTCTCGCGCTTGTCTTTTTGTCATTTACCCTCTCGTCTCTTCTCGGACCGTTTCCCTGCCTTTGTCCGCCCTTCCCTTGCTGGTCAATGTCGCGCCTTCTCCTCCTCCCTGGCGTCCTGAGGCTGGCGTGTGCAAGAATGAGTTCGGAAGATCGTGGGAGCGCTGCTTGTCATGACTGGGCAGGTTGTCCCGCCACTCTGTTCCTCTGCAGCGATCTTAAGCTGTCACATTCAGTTCGTGTGCCACGCGAGTATAGACACGCAGCGCATTGCAGTGCAGAACAGTGCGCTGCACTGTGAGGCAATGCGGTCAACGTCCACTGATGCGGTATAGCGCGACGTCTCATGGGGAGGTTTCCTCA